GTTTTTGCACCTTTTTTACTGAAGCTTTATAGAATGGTTGCATATATGTTACCTATTTAAAGTTTTAATGCTTTAAAAACTATAAACTGGTTTCCTTAACTTGTCAGTAAGTAAATGAAGAAATAAGCACAGAACCCCAGACACGGTTTCTTACCTGCAGGTGAGGCTGCCGCAGGAGACGGTAGAGCTCTTTGGCCTCTTCCGAGCCGCCCGGTAACGCCCTGATGTCGATCAGCAACTACACACACAGGGATTACGACACATATTTAATAAAAACATGGCTACAAAATGACTGTGAGCAAGATGTCGTTAAAAAAAACCAATCCAAGTAAAACCTGAAGTGAGAGTCCCGAAGCGTAGTCCAGAACCGGAGCTGGGGAATCTCTCAGGTGCCTCTGAAGACACTCGTAGACCTGAAAACAAATAATTTAGAATTTAATAATAAAAGCAGTTATTTACAGCAAGTGGGAAAAAGGAAAAATCTTCCCTCACACACTTTAAGGTTGTTTTTCATCATTAGTGGGTGATAGGTTAAAGGCTAGGCTCACATTTCTTCTTTAAAACAATAATAATTTGTCCATTTGCAACTTATTATTTCTCTCTGGTAAAAATATCTTTGTGGGGCCTGTTATTAACAGAAAATTAATCAAACAATTTTTTTACGGGGCAGTTTTGGAGTCACCTTGAGCAGCGACTGCAGCCAGGGGGCGTTCAACAAACTGTGGAGAACCTCCGCTCCATCGATGTCCGGATCTACCGCCTGCCTCACCTCCTCGATCACATCCGTCAGGATCTGACGCAGGCCTGCGACACATGAACACACACACCAGGATTATTATTTAGAGTGTGAAAATTTAAATCTATGAAGAAACTAAACGTGCCCTACTGACCGTGTTCTCCAAGTTCACAGTGGGGGTTTAACACCTGAGCCTCCACCGCCTGCCTCATGGTCGATGGACTCCCGACCTCTGACCCCGACTACTGGCCGACAGCTTACCAGGACTGGCAATGACCTGGAAAAAAATAAAAGGTAACACAACACGGGAGGGGGGGGGGGGGTACAAGGTTGAGTACATTTGTGAAATACGTATCTAGTGGGAAGACTCCAACAGTCATTAGTGTGAATGGGGTCAGGGGTTAATGGCACACTTCATGGCAGCTTGAATGAAAATACAGAGATGTGGACAGTGTAATCTCTGGCTGGTGAAGCGTCACAGTATATGCAGCAATAGATTAAGAAACTGTTTAATAATTGTGCTGTGACAGTATTCATATAGTCATTAGGTAAATTTGACATTAAGTAGAACAATGTGATTAACCAAAGGAAAAAAAAAGAAAGAAAATGGGACAAACTGAAAGCTTCTAACGATCTTTATATCCCTGGTCATGCAATACAAATAGTTGAGCCTAAGTAAAGTGGTAGTAAGAATTAAAACAGCTACTTATGAGGTAAACACCCATCTGGCAATTTCTGTAGTTAAGGATGAGGATGACCCATCTGGCCTTCCTCCCAGCCCTTCCCCTTTTTTCAAATCAAGCAAGTTTATGAATCTTACCTGTACGTCCTCGTCCTCAGGGATGCTGCGAACCTCCGTCCTGCAGCTCCTGCAGGTTTTAGCACCGTTATTGGTGCAGGAATCTGAAGATATGATGGGAAAATATTCCCTGAAGACTGGACGGAGCCCTACGCTTTCATCAAACTACAGGGAACGAGGGAGAGAGAGAGACTGAGAGAGAGAGAAAGAGAGGAGGGCTGTAATCTCTCCCGATCCCACTTAATCCTGAGCAAGTGAGCTGCCTCCCTCTGGCCACCGGAAGCCAGTTCCCCTCTCACCGGCTGGCTGGTTGTCACCGTGCTGCCAAATCTTCTTAACTCTTTCAGCTTTTAGCGGCACGCAGGAGAAGGAGGCAACGGACTGAGGACATGTACGTGTTACTTCAAAAGACAAGACTTTAAGATCACATGCATCAACATTTTCGTCTTCACAAATTAGAAAAGGGCTTTAAGATCTCACTTCTCAGGGGAGGCAGGAGTTTAAAAAGGTTGGAACATTCTTAAATTAATAATTAAAGATTGGCTAATCTGCAAAATCAGGAGGAGTGAGTGAAGAGTAATGATTCTCAGACAAGAACTCTTCCCTCAGGGCCTGGGTAATAATCTCCTGATCGGTAATCCAATTCTCAAGGAAATCTGAAAAAACAAAGATGTTGTTGTATGCTCAAAACACTGAGATTATCCTTCTGCACTTGACAAAAAGCTCTTAAGGTGCTTGTGTTTGTTCTCACCTCACTCAAGTCTTAAGATCTATTGATGCCTCTGCGTGAAACACCAGCCACCTCTGGCTCATTGTAACATATAGAGTAAAAAACAAGGTTAAAATGCCAGTTATCGCCAACAAAATCCATTTTAAAAACCGGTTTCAAATTTCTTATAATTGTTTATAACCTGAAAACCCCATGAATTAGGTTTGGTAAAAAGACAAACCAACCAACATCTATGATATCTCAACTTCCCACATCCTCTGGCGTCTTGAAGTCATTTGCACTGTCCAACAAACAGTAGAAAACTAAAACATATAAAAAGAAATGTGGGATTTGTTAGCGATGTCCATTAAATAAGTTTATTGCCCTTCGTTGTCATTTAAAGGAACAACACACGTGACATCATGTAAAAGACACAGGTTGGGCGTCATGTCAGCCAGCTTAAACAAACAATAACAGCAAACTTCGCAAACGCAACAGTTATTTTCACACAAAACTCCGGTATCTCCATCGTAAACTGTTGCTGTTGAGGTCAGTACATTAAGCAGTCACTTGTCACAGGGTTTCAATCATGAATCCAACAAAAGCTTTTGAACAATAACCTTCAGTTTACATAAACAACACAAAGTCGAGCTTCGTGTCAGAGTCAGTCATGGCACAATGGCTGAAATAAATGTCACGATCTGAATGAGTCGTCAGTTGTGTCCTTCTTTTTAAATGGCAGCAGCATCTTTTCAATTTTTTAACTACAGTGCACGGGGGGAAGATTTTCTCCGTCACAGAGACAATCTTGCTTCACTGATTTGAGAGTCAGGCACGTACGGTCCCAGCAGTAACTGGAGGTTGTAATCAATGACAGAGAAATGTCATCACAGTTGTTTTTAAAGTCACAAAAGTATGAGAGAGGCCTGATTTTAAATGGTTCTGCTATGAGATGTTCACTCAAAGCGCTGATTCATTGTTTCCATCGTTAGCAAGAACATGCTTGGAGGACTTATTGTGATATTTGCCCACACAAAATTACCAGTTTAAATTTAATCGTGCACATGAGCACTATTCAAATTCTAGATTTGAATTTTATCCATTTGGCACCAACTTCCTGTTGCTAGATTTTAAAAATCCTGCAGCTTCACCAAAATTCACTCAAAAAGTGGGCCAGTGGCTTTTCTATTGTTAAACCGTCTGAGAAATCAAATAAAAAAAGGCTTGATCATCCTCTGAATCCTCTCTTAAGCCCTTTTTTTTTATAAACTGGCATGCGTGACGCAAATAAACAACAATGCCTGACAGTTAGTGCTGTACATGGTTTAAAAAAAGAACAATCAGTATTAACAGAAACAAGGGCAGAGAATCAGCTTTGAATCTAAAATAACAGTGTTTGCATTATACCAACTGCCTGCCTCTCTGTAGACGCTTCACTTGCATCCCGAAAAGATCAACTTTTGTATTCATTATTTCAAAGTTCAAGAACTCTTGGGGCTATTTTCAGATTTTGGATCGAAAGCTTTATCCAAAACATAATTCATGTCAGTAGGGAAAAAGCTGATCTTTATCAGCGGAATGTCCTTAAGTCTTCTCTGCTAAATAAAAAGATTTGCACTGATGATTGCCGTTCACAACACAGCACGCAGACATATGGCGCCACTGTAAAACATGCTTCTCCAATTTCTTTTCAGGAGCTACAATCTTTTATTTTTTAGGCTATCTGACAGTTTTTTTCAGAAAAGAGTATTTAAGTGGTTTATTCATGTTTTAAAAGAACAATCAATCCTTCAGTTTATCTGGAAAATTCAGATTTTTACATAGCAGTATCGATATGTAAAAAGGCAGAAGATTAAGTCGCATTCGAAACCCCACAATATTAGCAGACCAGTGTCGGCACCATGTCAATATTCAATAATACAGGAATCTGGGCTCAGAATCCAATGCTGGAGGAGTTCAGATTGTCTAGGAGAGAACATTTCTTTTCACTAGATGTAGCTCTTAACCTGGTTTTGCATTAGGAAACAAAGGTACCGGAAGTTAAGGGTCCATCTTACCATAAACGTTCAAGTGTGAAATATCTATGTGCTTTCAAGTCAGTGAATCTGACTTACTAATTGAAATGGAAAGTTGGAGTAGCTGCTTGGCTGCCAACTTCTCTGAACCGTATTCATTAGTCATTTAGAGTTAAAGTCAAGTCAGTATATATTCACCAACCGTACAGCTACAGTATCAAACCGTGGCGTGCTGTCCAGTGCAATCCATGAGAGACAGCTCTACAGTTTCAGTTGAAAAAAGCCCAAAGAAGTGACTACGTGTTGGCCCTCAATCAAAGGTAGGAAGGTTAACTAGACCCACATTCTCAAAACTAACCCGTTAGTCTTCTCTCTTGTCAAACTAAAAACTACTAACCAGTTCGTTTAGGAAATGCACGTCTGGTTAACTTCCCCAATAACACTAAGGAGCAGCTCTGCTATGAACGAGCTGTAAGAATACCGTTGGTTCGGATTAAATTAAAAAACAACATTTATGTCAGAGTCAGAAAGTCACATGCTTCCGGGAGATCATGCTCCTCTTTTTTCCGTCCCATTTCTCCATAAAAAGAGTGAGAGTGACTGAAATGACGGGAGGAAAATAAAGTTTCAGCAAGTAATCTGTCAAATAATTCATGCTGAAAATGTGATAGAAGGTAGAAAATGAGGTCCGGCTTTTCGCAGGTCGAGAACAAAGCAGTCTCATTAGCATCAAGTAAAAAAAGCTATTGACGATGTTATATCCAACAGCACCCACGTCAGGATTTCAGTTGTGAGCCTCATCATTTCACACTGGACGGTACAAAGAGGCACTGGTCACATGTGTAACGTCATGATCCGTAGATAAGAGGCTGGTAAAGGTCATTGAGAGGGTAAAAACCTCTGCAGTGTTTGTATGTGTGTGTCAGAGACTGTCTCCCGTCTCCATGACAGTAGCAGCTGGAGCTGCCTGCAACCTGTTCGTATGATCCTCTGCCTCCCATTGGCCGCTGCACACATCCATCACTCCAAAGCCCGGTTGGTCCTAGCCCTGCGACTGCCTGTGTGTGTGTGTGAGTTGAAGCAGGGAGGGTGGGGCAACAGCGTGCAGATCACAGAGGGAGTAACGCCACGCTAAGTGATCTTCTCATGCTGGATCTGGTAGTAACACGCCTGTAGGTGGATAGTACAAGCACATAAATCCCTTTAAAACCAGGAGGCGATTAACTGGTAGTGTAATTGAACAGTTTCCATTTCCCCGTGTTAGGAGCAAATAACAAAATCCATTTTTCTTTTATAGCATTTAGGATTGTACAATTAAATCTAGAGGAGCTCTCCATTATATTGAATGACAGGAAGCTCTGCGTTACCTTGAGCGTGGTGAACATGATTCCATGCTCTCCATGCTGGACGCTGGGGTCCATCAGGTCTTCGATCAGGCTGACCTCTGACCCCAGGTTCCTGATACTGAAGGGGGAATTTTAAACAACATTGAAATTGAAAGCCTAGACATTGACAGTATATATTATTATATAAAATATTATGCAGTTTTGTCCTGTTGGTCTGACCTTTTTAATATTTCATTCACCAAACTATAAGCAAGGGATTACAACAAGAGTGTTTCACCTTTGTCATCTTTGTTCATTTTTAGATCTGCTTCAGCATTATTACTTGTGTGTGTGTGTGTGTGTAGTTTAGTGTGTGATAGAATGAGTTCTGGGACTGACCGAGCTCGCAGCACAACGTAGAGGAAGACGGGGAAGAGGTCGTCCATGGACCACAGGAAGTCTTGCTTCAGCAGCGACTGGACTTCCTGCGTGATCTCCTCGAATGTGAGCTGGATCACCTGCAGCTTGTCAGACGGAGTGAACGTTGTGCTGCAAACACACAACAAACACAAATATATATATTTTTCGCCCCATTTTATTCTTCCTTTTCCAACTTGATTGTAATTGAACTGTGTTGCATTTATCAATCTATTAATACTATTTATTTGCACAACATAAGAGGAAACTACAACTGCATTTCACGGTGCTGTCTTCTGAATTATAATAATAAATATGCACTGTGAACCTTGCATGCAAACCAAGGGTCAGTTCCTTTGTATCTACAACCAAAAAAACAGGTTCATCTGGTGTCAGTCAGTCTGACAGTTTATTTAAGATGAAAAACCACATAAGCTCTTTAGGCTAGTGTAAATATTTAACTTGTTCTACAGTTGTTAAAGAGTTTTACCTAATCTGCTGCAGAGTTTCCACTGCAGAAGCAAAGCAGGCGTCTTTGGTGCTGGAGAGAACCTGTCGGAGACAAATGGGCAGAAACGCAACTGTTTACATCTTCATACAGTACAAGAAATACAGTTAATTCAGCTTTAGCAGGTGACTAATTTAATAATAAAGCTTGATCTGAATGCAAACTTCTCTTTGAGCCTAAATCAATTGTGTGATTGTAAATTAAGTACCTGGATTTTTGTTGTTGATGTACTTGGGGTAGAGTAAGATGAACAACCAAAACGTACCTGCTGCTTCTCCCCCAGTGCAGGCATGCAGACAGAAATGGAAACAGGCCAGAATTTTCTGCGGTAGGAAAAAAAGCAGGTCAAGCATTTGTTCAGGATTCAGACGAAAAAACAGGGAATAATCTCTTTCCTAGTGTGGCACGTACTGCTGGACGCCCAGGAAGGCGAGGAGGGCAAGGTCAGCCTGCTTATTGAGGCGGAGGACACAATCCCAGTAGATGCCGTCTTCCTTCTCTTTGTCTAGAGCGTAGAGGGTGAAGAGTGGCGGGTAGAGGCGAGACAGTAGGACGGGAAGCAGCAGAGCCGAGCAGCTGACCACACGGCTGAGTGCAGAGGACACACAGGAGGGTTAAATAAGACCAGCTGATGTCGTCAGCATCACAAAAAAAGCTTCAAAGAGGGAAATCGTTGGTTTACACAGGTTTGGGTGACTGCGGCGGGGCATCAGTCGAGCCTGGCTCCTTCTGGTCTGGTAGGTTCGTGGTTGGCTCTGGAATTTGGCCACCCTCTTCTGGCAGATCTGGGAACAGAAACCTGCAGAGGATTGAAGAACCCATGATGGAAACTGCATATGAGGTTGTTTATATCACATGTAGAATTGCGACGGTTATTTTTACGGTTTCTGGGGTTTTATAGACAAGTAATTTCCCCAGCTGCTCAAAAAAACCCTAGAGGAAACACTGCTATGTGATTAAAATCATAGCGATACACAAATCTGAGATAAGAGGACATTTAGAAATAAAAGCTGCATTGTATGTTAAGCACCTGACAATCTGGAAGATGCGGTTGAGGTAAGACTTGATCTCATTGACAGCCTGAGGCAGGAGTCGCCGGTTGGCTCCAACGCCCACGTAGGTCATCCTGTAGACCGCCACCAGGGTCTCCACCAGCCGTCCCAGTGGGTGGAGTGGGGTGTCACAAGCCTGAGAGCGGGAGATATTTTTACAATCCTGAATAATTATAGTGTTTTCAGTGGGAGTGAGGAGCGGTGGGTGGATTCACCTTGATGAGGTAGAGGCGGATGATGTGATATCTGTCCATAGTAATGGGTCCCACATGCTGCGGGATGACCTCCAGACTCTCCAGGGTTCTACTGTGGCTCCGAGAGAGAATCTCCGGCCTGAGATAAAATGGAAAATTATAATATGATCCAGCTATAATCTAAATATAAAACATTCATGTTTAACCGATCCAAAAACATACAAATGACAGAGAGAGCGTTACACAAATCGCATCATGTCGCGTGTACCTGTCCTGGATCTGCCACCGGTTGGTGGTGAGGGCCACAGCTATGTTCTCCCACGCCTTCCAGTTTTCTCCTTGGCCCGACGTCTCACAGCCCAGCTGACTCCAACACTCGACAAACACCGCCTGCCACTTATCCTCCGAGCATACACACAGACGGCCGAGCTTCCTGCAAGATCACACACAAAGTATATGATGTATATAATATGGCGAATACGACGTCCACGCTGATGATTTCTGACACTGTTAGCTTACACAACATGAGTCTTTTCTTTGTCGGCGTCGAATAGGTGTGGTTTGAAGTAGGAGCCCGTCACCTTGAGGCTGGAGCCCCATTCACCACCAAAGGAGCCCTCCAGGTAGTCACTGTTTGCCATGGTCAGCACACCCTGAGAAATATCCAAATCAATACATTAAACAACACTGAAATACGTTTCACTGCTAATACTTGAATAATATCTCGGTACAGAGGCCATGTATAACATTTAGGCAGTTAGCCAAAATGAATCACACATCCAAAGGCACATGAGTTGTGATGTTTATAAGTCACCTTTCCATTCAGGGTCCAGTCGTCAGAGAACTCCCCCTCATACGTTGTGTCGTCCTCTGACAGAAGGATTCCAGTGCCCTAAAAACAACAAGACTCAGTTCATTCTTCAAAAATGTCTCTACTGCTTCTCCATCAAAAGCCTTCCTTATATTGTACAAAGTATAAAACAGCTAATATACATATAGTAGCTTTATTTATTTTGAGCTTAAATAAGAAATCTTCTCAGAAACACTCAATAATATCAATCACTGAAGATCCAACACGACTTGGAGAGTTTTGAAAAAAAACTGCACTGGCATTAAATCAAAACACACAAGAACTTTCACTCCTGTTTTTCCAATTCATATTTTTTCTTGTATAAATAACTGTGACTTCATTTTAAAGACAGAAGTGCTCACCATCATTTTATTATCTTTGAAGGTTCCTTCATAGTACAGGCCAAACTGGGTGACGACCACCCCGGTGCCCTGCCGCAGGTGGTCTTGCCACATGCCCATGTACTTCTCTCCCCTGACAAGCAAACAAACCAACAGCTCTTAAACACACAAATCAAGAAGAAAATTGCATGGTATTTTGTGCAGGGCTTGTTTTTCTCATGTAAAATTAATGCAACAGAAATTAGAAATTGCATACAGTGCAGAACCAGACACGTGCTGAAGTTAGATTGGTGTGTGGAGTGAACGTACTTTGTTATATCGTCAAAGACTCCGTAGCCTGTCTTCTTGTCCTGCACCCACTGGCCTATGAAGACACTGGGGGAGGACGTGTTGAGCTTGCCGCTGCGCAGCATGCCGTGACCGTGTCGCATACCATCCTGGAAGGATCCATCGTAGACCTCACCACTGGCATACCTGCAGGCAGTGATACGATGTGTATTCTGAGCTTTGGAAGCTGAGTGCATATCCAACAATTATTTTTCTAAACCACTGTGTTTGTTGTTCCCGTGTCCCTGCCTTATTGTTGCCCTATATGAACAAAACTATTGTCATACACACTGACCTGTACGTCCCGAGGCCGTGCATCTTCCCATCTTTCCAGTGACCTTGATAGTGATCGTTCTTGTTGAGCGCTTTATTGGGAGCGGTAAATTCTCCAAACCTAAAAATACACGAAGGATGAAGAGAACCTTGCTAAACTCAGCTGACTTGTGAAAGAATCAGACATCAGGCTCATTAACAGTGAGTGCACACGATGAGAGATCACAGAGTGGCTTTGACGGGCAGCGCTCACCCATCTTCCAGTCCGTTCTTGAACTCCCCTGTGTATATTCGCCCATCAGGCCATTTTAACACTCCCCTGAAAAACATTACAAAGTTCAGTTGAAATGTACATCGCTATGTGTTTTTAATAAAAGCTCAGTCGGTGTTTGTCTTACCTGCCGTTGGGTTTGCCAGCGAGCCAGCGGCCTTCGTATGTGGCCTCTTTCAGACGCCCATCCTTATAAAAAGTGTAGGATGCCGTCCTGGAGATAGGAGGCTCCAGCTTTGGCCCCGACCCCGGGCTGACTGATGTCTTGTCGTGCGTGGCTCCACTGAGGGCCTGGTCCACCGTCTGGTTGATGGAGCGAAGCCACTTCGCCTGGAAGCAGATGAACGGATACTTTTAAGATGTAATTCAGGCTCTTTGAGTTCCCTCGAATGCAAATGTAGTTTTAAGAAGAGCAGAATGTTTTGTCAGTCAGCTGCATTAAAAATGGTTTACCTTCTCCATAGGAGAGGAGGCCAGCAGGGTGAACGTCTCCTCGGGTGTGATCATCTTCAAACCGTATCTACACACACACACACACACATACACAAACACACACACACGTAAACACATACATTTAGTTTTCAACATTTATTTCCTCCCAGAATTCTTAAAGGTTTCCTGTGATCCTCAGACATGTTTTAGGTTTTTGACATTAGGGGACAATCGAGACTCACGTCCCAGTGTTCTCCTCTGGGATGGGCTCCACCCACAGTGTGGCCAGAGGGAAGACGTGATGGGTGGAGAACTGGAGGAGGGAGGATTAAAAAAAGAGAGCATGGAAGGGGACATTATTCTCACACCACACAAAAGCTTAATCGCTGTGAATAAACATTAAAGTTTGTGAACACAACGAGGAGGGGAAGTACGTTCCTTCTCTACATGAAGCAAATCTAACACAAATAACACGACTGTAACTGGCAAGTCTGTCATTTCTAACACTAAGTGGGAGGAAAACCAATTTGTTCCTCTTGACAGGGAAGAGACGCAGAGTAAAAAAGTATGAGGTCACTTATGAGGTCAATGTGACCTAATCAATGAATCTGTGAGCCTAACTGTACATCTGTGACTCCCTCCATGCATTCTTAAGATTACGTGTTCACGAAGCAAAAAAAGGTTTGTTAGGTCACAGCGACCGTGACCTTTGACCCTTGCCCACCATATTTAAATCAGTTCATCCTTGAGTTCAACGGAACGCTCATTCCAAATTTGAAGAAATTCCCATCAGGTGTTTTTGAGAAATACCTGGTGGTGTTAAAAATTAGTACTGATTCTGTTCGCACTTATCTTCCAGTCCACCCTTTTATCAATACTGTATACTTTTATAATACAGCAAAATAATAATGTATACTTAGTTAGAGGCTCTTTTCAGTTTAGTGTTTTTTGCAATAAGTCACACAAAATATATAGTTAAAAATGAAAATACACAGGTTTAAAAACATTGATTACATATTGATATTACGATTAAAAAGGTACATTCAGGCAGACATTGATGAAACATCAAGAAATATACCTCTTGTTCATAAGTAACCAAAATGAGACCAGGCTCAGTCATGCAGGGCAACATGTGTTTCACATGTTTTTCAGGAAGCTGAAAACTATGTGCATGCTTTTAATCACCAACACCCTGAGTCTCTTTCATACAGTCAAAGAGGTTCACATCACAAGTCACAAGGGTTTACCAGCTTCTGCAGGAATTCCACTAGACAAACCTGATTTGGTTTTCGAACCATCAGAGTAATACATATTTGAAGAGCCCTGACAATGACAATCAAACAGTGATAGAACAAGAGAGGATCACGACAGGAATCATAGGACAGAGATATGCAAGACAACCATGGGATGCAGACCAGAAGAAAAGAGGAGAGGAAACGGAGGACAAACAGGAAGAGAGGGGAAGGAAAGTGCTTTGGAGAAGTGACCAAGAAACTGTTTTATGATTTGAAGGGACATATATTTTAGAATGGATTTCTTATCCTTTCAAACCGAATGGTCAAACCTCCAATTACACATGAACCAAGGCTTGAACAGTGAACAAAGTGGTAAAGGATTTCTCAAAAGTTTCTGCGTGTTTTGGATTCCAGTGTTTTTCTTTAAATTCCTGTTTCTTGGTCAAAGCCAGTTCATCCTCCCATGCAGTCTCCTACAGCAGAGCAGGCAGAGCGTGGAAGCAGAGGCAGGGCTGTGTATCACTGTGCATGTTGTTCACCTCTAAAACATACTATGAACTGTCCCCTTTTAGTTCCTTTAACATAGGTAAAGTATGACTGAAGCCATGTGATGTTTACGCAGACTGAAATATTCAAACGCATGCCACCATGCCCGTCCAGTGCATGTTTCTGTACTATTTTCTACTAAATTAAACTTGATGTATTTGATGTTTATGGAAGAAATCAAATATGGGGGTCAGTATGTCTTCACATCATGACTTTCTGTTGACTGTTGCTTTTCTTTTCAAGCCATGATTTGAATAATAACTTTTTGTATCTAATTACACAAAATCGAATAATACTACAGCCATCATTCACTTGACTCTTTGCCTTATTTTGATTTCAAAGCATTTACAGGCGTGTGTGTGTGTGTGTGTTGAAGTACATTTGTCGTGTGTTTTAATTTGAATCCCCTCCAACAGGGCTGAACCCAATGACACACAGCCCTGAGCCCTTCATACACACACACAAAAAGAAAAAGACGAGGAAGAATAGTGGGACAGGGGGAGAGTCGGGGTCGCTGTATTGACATTTGCTTCTAACTGCATACTTACAAGATTTTTACAAGGCGCCACGCCCTGACAGCACGAAGGCAAGCACACACAAACGCTTGAAACACACCAGGTTAGAGTGCCTCAAATATGGCGGCAGTGATAGAGCAAACAGAAGTGAAGAGGTGCATGCGGGGCTGACCTGTGCGTGGACCAAAGCGTCGTTGAAAAGGATGAACCAGTTGACGGAGAACCTCCCAGCGTTCTGTAGGGTCAGGGCCTTGTTGCTGCTCTCGCAGATCAGCCGACGGTGAGGCTTCCTCAGAGAGTCCTGACAACACAGTGACACCATTCAGCAACATCACATGACACCTCGAGTTCTCAATATGGATGCTTCACCGTGATAACGAGGAACACATACTCTCAGTGAGTTTACCGTCATTTTGCCAGGGAAGCTCTTCCAGAAGTGAAACGTGTACTCAGCGTCTTTTCTTCTTCTCTTCAGCTGGAGGGACAAAGCTTCAAACTTGGAGCAGCTGTCCTGCAGCCTCTGGTATTCATCGGAGCACTGACAACGCACAAAAATGTTTACCATGAAACATATAATGCCGTTTTACAAATAGAGTCAGATTGCGGTTTTACCATAAGGAAGGTTTATACACGGAGGACATTTTTAAGGTTATTAGTGTATTTTGTTAAAAACTTTTGATGCTTTAAAGTTTGTACAAATATAGAGAGAATAGGTGACCGTTTGTTTTAAAGGTTTCAAGCTTCTTCATGATTTCCTAAAAAGACAAAGGGATGTAATTGTTGTTGTGAGTTATTATACAAATTCCCTATCCTATCTGGTACTGATGACTAAAATGGAGACAGTGTTTAGTTAAATTAGTTCCACTTGATTGTTTCTTTTTTTAACTATCAAGAAATTATGGGTCCTGTAAAATAAATATCTATGAATAAGAACATAAAAACGGATGTGAGTGAAAACAGAGAAATTTAAGGAATAAAACCAAAAAAATAATCATAATATTATCCTAGAAGCGACTTGACATGATAAATAATAATCATCATCATTTTCTACCAGGTGTCATTGATAGTACATACACTTTTCAGCCACTCTTCATAATCAGTGTGACATTAAGAAGAAACGTGCAACTTATGTGTTTCCCTTACCACTTCGAAGCAGGTGGCCAGTTTGAGCAGCAGTCGGCCGTATTCGTGAATGTGGTTAATTGGGAGGTAGAAGAGTGCCGACAGGAGGTCTGCCACGGCGGGGTTCTCCTCGCTGCACTCCGACAGTCGCTGCAGCAGCTCAGGACTCTTCCCAAAGAAATCTCTTTGAAATAAAATGACTATTTATGAAACATTCGAACCACATTCTGTTTTGTTTCCTATCAAAGTCTGGAACTTGCAGCAAATCATCATGTCCCGTTAAATATTGTTCTTGTGGATTTGTGTGTACTCACAGCGAGGGCTTGGTCAGGGCCTGAATACCTCCCATCACCTGGAAGTTTCCCAGGGTGCTGCAGTACCTTGACAGGGATAAAGAAAGAAGTGCAATTCGTATTTTGTATATTCATCTATTGTATTAAACTATTTGTGTTGATCTCAGTGGCGAAGACGTACTCATTATAGGAGTCGAGGAAGATGCCCGCATGGTCGAGAATGAGCAGACTTTTGACATCCCGTCCACGGCGCAGGTTGGCTGTGAGGCTGGCGGCGTGCTGCCCGGTCATGTGACACAGGAGGCTGAACTGACCTGCAAGAATCTGCAGGAAGCCAAAGGTCACCTGACCAAGGGTGGAGCTCAGCGATTCTGGAGAAGGGCGGGACAGAAATAGAACAAATTCAGCTGAAGTTAAAGTGTGATGAAGCTTTTTGGACCTCGGTATTTCCCTTTGTGTCACTCTTACCCAGCTCCAGCAGGGGGCGTATTATCTGTGTCTTGATGTTGCACAGCTTGCAATAGAACTTCCTCTCGGCTGCGGCCAGCTCATGGAGGCTGGCGATGAAGCCCATCACGTTTCTGTCCGAGAGCGCCACGCATCGTTTGCCCCCAGCAAACACGCTGCTGACATAGCCCAGCTGCAAAACACATGAAACAGCATAAAGAAAATACATTCATTGAATTTCAGCAGAAGGTATCACAAGGAATTTGCAACCATAAAACCCCATCAGTTCATTTGTCCTTACATGCATGCAGAAAGGCAGTAGTACAGGCTGCGGGGTGTAGCCCCCTGCCCGCTCCTGCTTCTCCTCTCCTTCTTCCTGGTGACCCGGCTCCTTGGCCTCACTCTCCTCCTCCGTCTCTTTCGCCTGCTGCCCGCTGTAATAAATGATGGGCTGGATGCAGTCGCCGTCTGCGAGTAGGAGGGTGTGTTTACTCCCTGCGCTCACATCCCACACCCGGATGCCCTCCGAGAGCTGGACGAGGAGGCACAAAGTTTGGATGTGAAAAAAACACAAACCTTGAGGTTTGTGTGCGACTGGGCGGTTCCCTCACCTTTGCAAGACGGGGGATGGTGCTGGGGGACTCCATGTGTCCAAGCTGACCAGAGCTGTTGCTTCCCCATGAAAATACCTGGAAGAGAAACACATTGATGGAGGCATACAAAACATCTGTTCAACAGGTAATATAATGGACGTGTGACTGAAGCCGTAGACCGACCTGAGACTGAGCGGTGAGGGCGAGGGAATGACCAGCGCCTGCCGCCACCCGCACCACCTCCTTACTGTTCAGACTCTTGATGCACAGCGGCTTTAATCTGCAAACACACACACATCACACTCCTGTCAGGAAATGAGTAACACATTTTAAAACAGCTTGTAACATCCAGCATTGCGAACATGCTGCATCCTGCCTGGCCAGGTTGTCCCCGTGTCCCAGCTGTCCGTGCTCGCCGTGGCCCCAGCTCCATACTTCTGTCTGCAGGGTGGGCAGCACCTCCGGGGCCTCGGGGACCGCAGCTCCCAGCGGGGTGAGGGCGACAGCGCGCATCCTGGGGCGAACAGCTTTTCTCAGCAGCCGCGGGGACACTGGATGCAGAGAAAAAAAGTTGTCTTCACAGTAAAAATAATATTAGCCTCTTCATAAGCATAAAGAAATCTGCACTAGTCTCTTTAAATATTTTCTTACATTGGCCAATACTACAAAGACAAAACAAAGATAACGTATAAGGTGAGACAGAGTTGATGAAATGTGGAGATGTTTTGATGACAAGCCAATAACAAAGTACCTAAACTTGAATGAATGTCTGGTGCAAAGTCCGGCGCGAATCAATGAATATTATACAAACACAGCAGTGACATTCGGACCAGATCAGCCAGCTGGTGTAAAAGCACATGTTGTCATTCAGCAAACAAAGGGAAGAAGCCTGCAGGCAGCAGACAGAGCAAACACCGATAAGGCAACGGAGAAAGGAGAGAAACTGACTTGTTTTCTTCTTCAGGGAGAAATTACTGATGTATTCACAGTGTTTCAAGTTAATTAATTCATCATAGCATAATATTTTTAGTGCCGTGTTTTGAATATATTATCTGAAAGCAAAAAAGACACACATTATGTGTTTGTAACCATTTTAAGATCCCATTAGAGTTGCTAATCTTTTTAACGTTGGTACATACAAAACAGAGCAGATCTACAAGTACCACCTAACTCCTCTACATGTCCGCAGACTACTCAAATTGCAGGATTAATTGGGATGGACAGAATATTATGATGTGACAGTGAAGCTGACCTCTGACTTAATGAAAATAAAATGTCCACACTTCATAATTGTTTGCAAATTTGTCACAACTAGCACATTTATTCTATAAAACCACTACAGAACCAGATATTGAAATCCAGAGTAAATGATCCGAGGCAGGACAGAAATGACTATTATCTAAACGTGTTTATTTCTGTTCGGGGTCACACAGAGGCTCTGAGCTTATTCAATAATGCATCAAACTTCCTACCCTTTTTCTGCTCTGTTAAATCAGACTAATGTGTCCTCCACCCTTCATCATCAGAAAAATCCTGCTGCCAGATTATCAATGATGGAGGCTAAAAAAAGATCTGCATTCCTCGCACAAAATCGACCATTCAAGTAAGCTAAGTCGGCTCAAACAGCACCTGCTAATGAATGGCATTCACACGGACACAAAGGCACAGTTTGTTTTACCATTTAGGCAGGAAAGAAAGTCTTTAGTCCATGTAATATTCAAAGCAAAACTAAACATGTTTATAATCCATGAAAAATCCTGAATGCAGGTATTGACATTGAATGTGTCATTACAATAAAAAAGAAAACGTGGAAAACCCAGATTTTTTAAACCTTCCTTTTGCTTTCTCAAACCAGCTGTATGTGATGTTGCTCTGGATGTCACATACAACGACACTACTGTGCACAAAGCATGCCACAATGAAAAGCCTTTGCAGTGCTCACAAGCATGAACACACACAGACATAGACCTGCACACGCGCAAGGCGTACTTACGCAGCAGGGCATAGGAGGATGATAAGAGGTGAACAGCGTATCTACCCTGTGAGAGG